AGCTTAAAAAAGTTAACAGGCTATGTTCATGTGTTAGAGGATTCTACTTTACAGAAATGTAAATTATCCTTAAATTGATCTAAGATGAAAAAACTAGAATAAAATGGATGTCAATACACATTCTAACATGTTGAGTACAATGAAAAGAGCAGACAATACTTGGTGTTGGTGAGGATATGGAGAAATGGTTGATGGTCGTGTAATTGACAATTTTAAAAGTTCCTGGACAACATTTTCCAAAGTTGAATGCATGCATCTCCATGCCAGCAGCTTCATTCTTTTAGATAGTGCACAAAACACATGTGTAACATGACTACTAAAACACATGCATAAAAATGTTTGCAGTAGCAGTATTTGCAATAACCCCAAGTGAAAATACCTCAAAATATCCATTAACAATGGAATGGATAAATTAATTGTGGATTATTCACACAAGGATATGTCACGCAATAATGAGATGGGGAAACTTTACTATATAATATGGGTGAGTCTTAAAAATATAGTCAGACAGAGAAAGATTAAAAGCACATAGTTTGATTTCATTTATATGGAGTCATCTTGAGCAGAAGATAAGTTTTACAGGGAGCTGGTAATGTTTTGTGTCTTTGAGAGCTAATTATACAGATGTGATTATTTTGAGAGAATTTGTTGAGCTGTTCCTTTTATTTAAAAAAGTTATATAAATTTAGAAAATAATTGGGGGATATTTCCTATCTGATCGACTTATCTCTAACCATTCCCGTGCCATCAATTTCCTACCCCATCTCACCTTCAGACCCCACCCTCCACACATCCTTGAAATTAAGGCACTTCTGCTCTTCCAGGGTCAGGATGGCGGCAGGGAGGGACCCCTCACTGCCTCTCCCTCTGCTGCGCCTCCTCACCATTCCACGTGCCCCCCAAACTCGCTCCACCCAGAAGCAGAACAGTGCCCTACCTGACCCATCTGTCACAGATCTGGCCTGGAGCCCCTGCGAGGCACAGCAAGCAGGCCTGAAACGTGCACCATGGCTGTGCACGCACTCCAGTCCACGCTGCCTCGGAGCAGGAGCTCTGCAGTCAGACTCAGTAGCTGAAAGCCAGTTCTACCATTTCCTAGCCGTGGGACTGTATCCAGTTACCTAGGTCCCAGCATTAGTTTTCTCATATGTGAAGAGCAGATTTATTTACTTATTTGAAAGTCAGAGTTACACACAGAGAGGAGAAGCAGAGAGAGAGAGGTCTTCCATCCACTGGTTTACTTCCCAATTGGTCACAACAGCCAGAGCTGCGTCAATTCGAAGCCAGGAGCCCGGAGCTTCCTCCGGGTCTCCCATGTGGTTGCAGGGGCCCAAGCACTTGGGCCATCTCCTACTGCTTTCCCAGGCCACAGTAGAGAGCTGGATCAGAAGTAGAGCAGCTAGGACTTGAACCAGCGCCCATATGGGATGCCGGCATTGCAGGTGGTGGCTTTACGTGCAATGCCACAGTGCTGGCCTGAGCAGTGATGTTTTAAGAAGAATTATGTTCGGTGTTTTTGTGGGAATTGGTGATACTATCTAGAAAGTAGCTACATACAGCACGTGCTTACTAATTGATCGATCTTAGCACTAGCAGCCAGGAAGTTAACCGCCAAAGCTTTCACTAAGGACACTCCTTTGCCTGGAAGGTGGCTATGTGGTTTTTTTTTTTTCTCTGGCTCAAGAATCCATGCTAATATATAATCATTGTTTGTTTCTCAACCTGGGGAGAGCTCTGGCCTGGGACAGAGGAGACCTGGATTCTGGTCCTGCTCTGCCACTGAACAGAGCTGTAACCTCCCTCCTTATCCATAAAAGCAGGGGTTGGGTTGGATACCTTCTTCCTCATCTAAAATTAGGTGGATCCATGAATTCTTTTGGGCTAGTGCATTTCTGTGGGTCTTGTACCCTCTCAGCCCTCATGGGGATGGATCTAGTGAGTTCCTAATAAGCAAAATACATGTGTTTGGGGTATGAGCAAAACCCAGAAAATACAGAAGAAATAAGGTCACATTCCAGGACTAATTTCTGACTGAAGTAACCAGAAAACCTAAATAGAAGAGACAACTATGGGTTTTAAGTGATTTTGGAAAATACAATTTATTTTGGATCGCATAGAAGCCCGGGGGCAGAGGGGCAGAGTGCAGAATAGGGATTTGACGTTCCAAAATGTACCTCGTTAGCTGAATCAACAGACACAGAAAGCGTCCTCTGCCCTCGCCTGCCCTGTCTGGGAGCAAGGCCCAGATTCCCATTTGTGGACGTCCCCCCTCTTCTGTCCAGGGTGAGGTGCACAATGCTTATCACTGGAGATGGAGAGTTGGCCGAGATGAGTCTGTGTAATTGACCTTCTTAAAATAAGCCTTACCTTCCACTAATCCCCCCGTTTATTTCCTAGCCACTTTCCGACAACGTATCATCCCCTGACGCCCAAACCCAGTGCATTCATTTCCAATGCTCCCTCTAACGGGTCTGAGTTCGTTTGCAGAGCTGGGCAACCATCACCACGATCAGTGTCGGAACATTTTCCTCACACGGAGAAGCAGCTCCAGGACCACCAGAAGTCACTTCCTGCTCCCATCTTTATCTGCCTCCTCCAACCCTCACCTGAGCCAGCTTTCCACTTTGTCTCTATGCATTCACCTTTTCTGGACACACTTTGAAATAGCTGGCCCATCTAACTGTAACTATATCTGCTTTGACCAGCATCTCCCCATTCCCCATCACCACCCCAGCCTCTGGTAACCACCATTGTACTCTCAGCTTCTATGAGGTCAACTCTTTCGGATGCCATATGTGTAAGAACATGGGGTATTTCCCCCTGTGCCTGACTCCTTTCATTTAACAGAATTTTCTCCAGGTCCATCCATGTTGAATGTCACAAATGACAGGTTTTCCTTCCTTTTTAAGGTTGAGTAATGTTCCATTGTGTTTATATACCACTTTTTAATGTCTTTTTGTCTGTTGGTGGACATTTAGGTGATTCCACATCTTGGCTATCATGAGTAGTGTTGCAATAAACATGGGAGTGAGGATACCTCTTCACATTAACTTATTTTTAAAAAGTTTACTTGAGAGATAGAGTTACACAGAGACAGAGACAGAGAGAAAGGTCTTCCTTCTGCTGGTTCACTCCTCAGATGGCTGCAGTGGCTGGAGCTGAGCTGATCTGAAGCCAGGAGCCAGGAGCCTCCTTCAGGTCTCCCAAGCAGGCGCAGGGCCCAAGGACTTGGGCCATCTTCTACTGTCCTCCCAGGCCGTACGAGAGAGCTGGATCAGAAGAGGAGCAGCCGGGACATCTAGCAGGGCCCACATGGGATTCCAGCATCACTGATGGAGGATAAGCCTGGTAGCCACCACGCTGGCCCTCTTCACATTAATTTTATTTCCGTCAGATATATACCCAATAGTTGAGATTGCTGGATCAAATGGGAGTTCGATGTTTTGTTTTCTTTTTAAATTTCTACTTATTTTGTTTTTACTTAAAAGGCAGAGAGACAGAGAGCTCCCAGTTTGCTGGTTCGTTTCTCAAATGCCCACAATTGTCAGAGCTGGACCAGGCTGCAGCTGGGAGCTGTGAACTCCATCCAGGTCTCCCACGTAGGTGGCAGGGACCCAAGCACTCGAATCATCACCTGCTGTCTCCCAATAGGCTCATTAGCAGGAAGCAGCAATTGGGAGTGAGGCCAGGCTAAATGCCCACCCGACAGGAAATTTTTAGAGTAGAAAATCAGGTACATGGTTAAAATTCCTCAGAGCACCCACAACTCCCTTTGTTTTCCTGTTCCAGCAGGAAAGGATTCTCCACAGTGGGAAATCGAGGTTTCTGTTGTTCTCTTCATGTCCAGAATCCATACCTTATCCCAAGGTAAAATATTTTAGCATATCTCTCTGTGGTTCTCTCTGGAGTCTCAGAGTGCCCAGGAGGGTACAGACAACTTATAACTCAGTGCAAATGTACAGTAGGCTGCTGCCACAAGCTGTCATGCTCCACTCGGAAGCAGGAGTTCTTTCTTCTGCATTGTTTAAAAGCCAGTCATTGTGCATTCCGGAATGATGAGAGCAATAAGACATCTATGTTTCAAGGGCTCATAATTTAACAGAGGAATTAAGCACACAAAAGTAAGTTATAATGCAAAAATAATTATAGGCTTAATTCATAAAATAATCATGGCAATTTTATTAATAATACAATGTGTATAAACTGTTACGAGAGTTTATGAGAGGCATTGGTGCTTTCTAAAGGGTTAAGTGAAGTTTCATGGAAATACCTGGACCAAACTTTTAGAATGTAGAGGATGTTCTAGGTAACAAGTTAGAGAACTGATATTCTAGGAATAGTAAGAACCAAAACACAGAAGCATCAAAATTGAATGGTGCATTTGGAGAAAAGTAAATTGGTGTTGCTTGATTGTGGTGTGTTTTGGGTTTTGTAGGGGAATTTTGGAGTAGTCCAAGAATTTTTATACTTTGGAATCAATAGGGGGAGGGAGAGAGCTTTTAAGTTTCCTTTTGGTTAATAAAGAAGCTGAGGGGCTGACATCCTGGTGTAGCAGCACCTGTGACATAGGCATCCCATATGAGCGCTGGGCCAATTCCCAGCTGCTTCACTTCTGATCAAGTTCCCTAACAATGTGCCTGGGAAAGCAGCTGAAGATGGCTCAAGTGCTTGAGTCCCTGCACACATGTGGGAGACCCGCATGAAGGTCCTGGCTCCTGGCCTCAGCTTGGCCCTACCCCGGCTATGGCAGCCATTTGGGGAATGAACCAACAGATGGAAGACCCTTCTCTCTCTGTCTCTCTCTGTAACTCTGCCTTTCAAATAAATAAATAACTCTTTAAAAATAAAGACCAGAGAAGTTGAACCATCTCTTTGTGTTTTGGTGTCACTTTGCTTTCTGTAAAGGAGAAACAGGAATGAACACGCTATTCCTCTCCCGGCACAAACACGAGCCTCGGTGCAAAGGGGCTGTGTGTTATGAGGGATTCATTCACACGAAATGCCTAGAATGCTTTATTGAATCCTAGCTAGGAGGAGGTGGCAGAGGATGGAAAATCCTGGCGCTGGAGGAAGAAAGCAGCCTGGATGGTAAGCCGGTGGTAGCCTCAGTCCATTCTTACTTCTGCTTACTCTTGGGGGCATGCTGGGCGGAGGGGCCCTTCTGCGGGGCTGGAGTGGCTGGGCCCCTGTGGGGGCACTGCTTCTTGGCCTGGGGAGCACAGGGGTCCTTGGTCTTGGGTGCACAGCTGTCCTGACCTTTTACAGGGGGTGACTGACAAGGCTGCTTCACCTGCTGCTGCTGGGCCTTCTGGGAAGGCATTGCTCCAGAAACAGGTGAACCTGCAGGAAAACCCACAGAGAGAGAGAGCATGAGAAGGACTCTAGATCTCCTCCTTTCTGAATCCTACGGGCCTGTTTTCCTCCAACAGGCAAGGATATAATATGTGAGAGGCAGCCTCTGACTGAACAATGGATTGATCCGCACACACCCATGGGGAGCTTCCTCTCATCTACACATCTTCTGATTTCCTGTCTCCCTCCATCCTCCCATGGATGCCCGACCTAACTGAATGCATAATTTACTTGTCATCTTACCAGGAAATGAAGTCACGTTAAGGATTAAAAACAAAAAGCCCACAGACGCAGATGTTCAGCTTAGTAGCGGAGACGCCCATGTCCTACATCGGAGTACTTAGGTTCAGTTCCCAGCTCCAGCTTCTGACCACAGTCCCTTCTAATGAAGACTCTGGAAGGCAGCTGTGAGAGCAGCCGTGTCCCTGCCAACAATTTGGGAGACCTGGATTGTGTCCCTAGCCCCTGTATCTGCCTCACCCCACCCTGGCTATCACGATTTTCTGGATTCAACCAGTGTCTATGTCTTTGTCTCTGTTCCTATCAAATACTAATTTGAAAAAGTAGCCCAGGATCTTTACAAGGTCAAGCCATGTGCCCCAGGCTGGTGGATATGGTACGTGTGGGCTGACTGCCTTGGATAATGCAAACATGAACGTGTCAAGGTTGGAAGGGCATGAGGAGGAGGAGGAGAGCAGTGTCTGTCCTGGAGGGAAGTGTTGTGATGTGTTAGGAGTGGGGCTGGAGAGACAAGTTCCTAGGGATGCAGAGTTTTGGGTTCTATTTCCCATATCACTCCAACATGAAAAACAGAATGTAGCATGAGAAAGCTTCAGAGGGGGCCCAGCCAGCTCTAAGTATCTCCTCCCTCTTCAGTGGGAAAAGTCCCCTTGCCAACAATTCCAACCCGGAATGAGGAAATAAGTTGTACCTAGCAATGGTGTGAAATGGAGACTGAATTTCTTAAGTAACCATAGTGTGGCAGTTCCATTGTCAGGAGGCTTTGGCAGTTCCTTGATTACCCAAGAACAGAAAAAGGAACTTGGCTTAGTGGCTTCAGGCAGTTCAAGGAGAAGGAGGGAGCACAACAGATTCCAGGAGAAGAGAGGTGTCCTCGCTTACCAGTGCTGGTGAGCTGGGCCCCGGAAGAGCAGGGTGAGTGTAGGTCTGTGGCAACCACTCCTGGAACCCTTATAAGGGCCCCCAGCTTGCCCCGGGCCCTTGGTGTGGGTCTGATTACCACCTCCCAGGTAATTCCTCACCCACTTCTCCCACCTGCACATCCTACCCATGGGGACCTGCTTTCCTGGCCTGTTTAGGTGCAAACCACCCACCAGGTGCTCCCAGCCCTCTTGGTCCTTGTACCTGAGCTGATGTAACCCAGTGAAGGTATTTGTCCAACCTCAAGCATTCAAGATCTTCTTTCTTTTTTTTTTGACAGGCAGAGTGGACAGTGAGAGAGAGAGACAGAGAGAAAGGTCTTCCTTTGCCGTGGTTCATCCTCCAATGGCTGCTGTGGCCCACGCGCTGCGGCCGGTGCACCACGCTGATCCAATGGCAGGAGCCAGGTACTTATCCTGGTCTCCCATGCGGGTGCAGGGCCCAAGCACTTGGGCCATCCTCCACTGCACTCCCTGGCCACAGCAGAGGGCTGGCCTGGAAGAGGGGCAACCGGGACAGAATCCGGCGCCCCGACCGGGACTAGAACCTGGTGTGCCGGCGCCGCAAGGTAGAGGATTAGCCTAGTGAGCCGCGGCGCCGGCTCAAGATCTTCTTAAAGTTGAGCTATTCACAGAGGAGGAGTTGCAAAGGAAGAAGGACCCAGAGGCAGAAGATGGGGTTTGGAGCCACTCTGGCACAATCATGGACCTTGCCTTTGCTGCCCCTTACTGAGCTCGCACTCACCGCGTGCCTTGCACAGAGCCCACCCTCACGTCCAGTATTTCGCTTTATCTTGGAAGCTTCTCTAGGCACACTCCAATGTTAGCACTTCCCCAGTGAGAGTCAGAGGCTGAGACGATCGCATTAGGAGTAAGCAGCTCTGAGCTCAGATCTGGGGGACTCCAAGGATCCACATTCTCGGTCGTCACATGGGGAGAAGTCAGTGCCCAGCGCGGGTGCCTCCTGCCCCCAGTCCTTTCCCCAACACCTCCGTCTGCGCTTCCTTGTCCAGGGGCCACTCCCACAGTGTTCCATGAGGCTTCCATAGGTGCACAGCAGATGGGAAGGGTGCCCCAGCACACAGGAGTGCTGTGCCCCACCTGCCATCAGCAGTCAGGATACTGGAGGAATTAGTAGTGATCAAACAAGGTGCAATTGAATTTAGTCTCTGCAGTAGGCTGAACTCCAAAAGTATAGGACATCCAATTAAATTTGAATTTCAGGTAAACAATACAATTTTTAAAATTCCAAATATGTCCTAAATATTGAATGAGGGGCCAGCATGGTGGCACGGTGGGTTAAGTCACATCAGAGTGCTGGGTTGAGACTCGACTTTCAATCCAGTTTCCTGTTCATGTGCCTGGGAAGGTAGCAGGTGATGGCCCAAGTTCTTGGGTCCCTGCCACACCCTTATGGGAGACCTGATTGGAGTGCCTGGCTCCTGGCTTAAGTCTCATCCAGCCCTGGTTTTTGTGGCTATTTGGGTAGTGAACCAGGGGATGGAAGATGCCTTTGTCTTTCTTTCTGTGTTTCTTTATTCACTCTGCCTTTCAAGTGAATAAATTTTTAAAGACAGCAAATATTGAATCAGGCACACTTATACTGATATTACTTGCTATTTATCTAAATCCAAATTTAACTGGGCAGACTCTATTTTGCTGCACCTAGCAACCCTGCTCTGGGGTGTATTCCAAGGTTGGCACAGCCCTGGCCCTCTTGGTGGCGTCTGAGCTCCTGGGTTGGAGAAAGGCAGACCTGCTCTGGGGAGCTGATGCATCTTTGACCCACTGCCCCAGACCTCAGGTGCTGCCCAATGTTGTGCTCACATCTGTCCTTATCTGAGAAGAGTTGGACTAGCCGAGAAATGACAGGAGTACCTCAAAGCCCTTCTTAATGCAGGTTCAAACCGCGTGCGTCATTTAGTCCTCATAGCGGCTCTGGAGCAGAGTGCAGGGCTGGTCCTGCAGGTGGACAACGAGGCCCCAACTTGTTGAAGAACCTGCTAGCAGCAGGCAGCCAGCGGGGGTGGAGCTGGCTAGGGGCCCTGGCTCAGAGCTCCTTTGTGCTACATCACAGTGGCCAGCATCTCTGCTGTGGACACACGACTGCCCCTGGGTGTGGAGACCAGGACTAATAACCTTCCCTGAGCTTTCTGTCCCATGTGGACCATGCACAGCTCATTTTTCAGCATCAGCCTTACTTAAATGCCAACCATTTCTTTAATTCCCCTCCATCCCCCGCCCCCCAGGCCGGGCATCTCCCACATCCTACTCACAAGCCTATGAATCTTAAGTATACTGTATCCTGGGTTCCAGCTTCTGGGTTCTGCACTGCATCTCCAACCTCCTGTCCACCTGTACCTCTCACTTCCACCCTCTTTCTCCCTGTGCTCATGCCGATACCCTCAACCAGGGAAGTAGGCAGTGAGACAGGCTTCAAGTATGTTGTCAGGTAGAGCACCTGGAAGGCGTGTGTGCATGTGTGTGTGTTGTCTGAGAGTGTGAATGCATGGACAGCTCCATCCCACATGCCTTCTCCAGACTCAATTTTAGTCCTTCTTTCCCCCAGTGTGATCCTTTGCCCCTTCATCTATCCACAAACAACTCGTGCCTAGTCTTAGAGGATGTTGTCCCTTGATGAAACCTGGCTTAGAACACAGCCACCACCTAGGAGGGTAATTCCGACGTGCACGGGATAGAGACGCAAACACGGCTGTGTGAGGCGGTCGCATCTGCCAAGACCCAGATGACTTCATAGACATCCAGCACATTCCACCTTTCAAAGCTCTCCACCTGGCCGGCGCCGCGGCTCACTAGGCAAATCCTCCGCCTTGCGGCGCCGGCACACCAGGTTCTAGTCCTGGTCGGGTCGCCAGTTTCTCTCCCGGTTGCTCCTCTTCCAGGCCAGCTCTCTGCTATGGCCCAGGAAGGCAGTGGAGGATGGCCCAAGTGCTTGGGCCCTGCACCCCATGGGAGACCAGGAGAAGCACCTGGCTCCTGGCTTCGGATCAGCGCGGTGCGCCGGCCGCAGCGCGGGCCGCAGCGGCCATTGGAGGGTGAACCACCTGGCTCCTGGCTTCGGATCAGCGCGGTGCGCCGGCCATTGGAGGGTGAACCACGGCAAAGGAAGACCTTTCTCTCTGTCTCTCTCTCACTATCCACTCTGCCTGTCAAAAAAAAAAAAAAAAAAAAAGTGCTCCACCTGACTTCCCTGTTTGCCACAATATCCCAGTTTTATAGAGAAGGAAACAGACTTGGAATGAGGAGCTGCCTCGCCCAAGCTCAGGCAGAGGTCACTGTCAGAGTCGGTGCTCCCGACTTTACAGCTGTGCCCAGCTGGCTGCAGGGACGGAGTGCCCGGGAACTTGTGGCAGAGGCCCCAGTGAGGACAGATTCGGGTCCTGATTCTGGGCGTCTCCACCTCTCGTCCCTGTCTCCCTCCTGTCTTCCTCCCCAGCACCGTGGGGCCGTGGCTGTCCCCTCCCCTAGTGCTGCCAGTGAAAGGTGCTCTTTCAAAGCATCTCTTCACACAGTGTTGAGGGCACTCTATGAAGAGAGTTCATTGTGTTACACATTTTATAGATGAGAAACCTGGGGCTCTGGAGATGGCTGCATCCAGCACCCTGAAGGGAGAGGTGGCCCAAACCTTTGAAATCTGTAATGGCCGGCTCCACATTCCCCCAACTGGCTGGGCCAGTGGACCATTCTTTCAGAGGAGCAGAGACTCCCTGGCACCCCTCACATCACCCTACATAAACAAGCCCTGTAGGGCGGGCTGGCCCCGAGTAGCCATGTGGAATGGGCACCTCTGCGGTCCTTGCCCCACCCCCCACCAGGCAGCCTCACCAGGGGCCAGCCGCCCGGGCAGTCTTGGCTCCTGCATCTTCACAGGTGTTGAAATCAGGCAGTCAGGCTCCGCATCTTCCCGACTGAGGGAGCAGGCACCTGAGGACAGGTGTGTGCCTGTGACTGCATCAGGGAGGGGAGCACCCAGGCGAGACGCATTTCTGGAGGTGACTCAGTGGCTGAGAAACCCCGACCCCGCCCTGTGAGCCAACAATGGGGTGACCTGGGAGCACAGACCCCGCTGTGGAGACGCAGATACAGTCCTGTCTCTCAGCTGTGGGGAAGAGATGGGTTGTGGGCGGCTTCCTTTGAGGACAGAGGAAACGCGTGTGTGGTGCTATTTCCAAGCTCGAAACAAGGAAAGACAAAAAGGAGCATGCGGAGTTAGTTGTGAGGGTCTTTTTGGACAGGAGGGCTGTGGAGGTTTGGGGCTGCTGGGGCCCCCTCATTTTTAGCTGCCTGTCCAGTGCAACTGACCGACAGGCATCGCATTTTTAAAATCACAATCACGTCACAGCTATTCTAGCTTATTTTCTCGTTGGTACTTAATAAGCAGTCAAGGCTGAGAACATTTTAGTTTCGAGTAATTACTTAACAATCTGTCAACAAGCCCTTTAGAAGATGCTACTTAGGAAGACCATGTGATCTTGTTTGGGGACTCCACGGGCTACATGACTGGTGTCACTCTCAGATTTAGCTGCTTGCGAGTACGATGGCCACGCATTAATGCTGGGTGTCCGTGTGATAGTATTAAAAGTAGGTCCACGGAAACAGAAGAGTGAGGAGATGAGTTTCTAGAAGCTTCCATTTTCTCCCCGCACTTTTGGGTAATTTCTAGGAGAGCTCTGGAAGTTTCAGGAGCTTTATACAGGGTGAGAGGCTGCTTCCAACCAGACATCCACACGGTGGACGCTGGGACGGGGTGAGAGGCCAAGCCGCTGGCTCTGGAAGGCCGCCAGGCCCTGCCTCCTGGTGGTCCAGTGCAGCTGGAGCCCCAGGCACTCCTTCCTCTGACCCACGCAGTTGTAGGGAGACCTGCAGGGAAGGAGCTGAGGCCGAGGGAATTAGCTCTGCTGATAGCGCTCCCTGCTGGCCGTGAGATCTTGGCACATCCCTCAACTTCCCTGTTTGTTCCCTCGATTTTCCTGTTCTCCAACATGGGAGACTGGTGGGGACTATTCCGGAAGTCCCCATCAAATGCTAATGGTCTGCAGATGTCTGGCTGATTCTTGTGGGATTAGTGATGAATTGAAAATGAGGCTGAGTTCAGCATCAACCAGAGAGGGCGTCCTAACTGATTAAGGGAACCTGCTCCGAGAGGGAGGCGTGGCCGCAGGTGTGCAGGTAGCCTGGGTGAGGACTTAGGAGTGAGAGCTCACCACACACTTAAAGAAAACAGAGGGGAAGCGAGCCACTTACACACCGTGGCAAGCCTGTAACTCCTACCTTAGCTCACATCACTGCTTGACACAACCCCAGACCAAAAAGAGTGCTGCTGTTTCCAAAACCTGCCCCGCAACTCCCTGTCTTAAGTCGCCCAGTGAAATGCAGTCCTCAGGAATCATCTTAAATACCATGTTTCCACTGTATGTAATGCCCTTCTCAATGCTTTCTGAAAGATGTGCTCCAAAAGATGCCTGGAAGTTTACTGTGTGTGTGTGCGTGTGGTGGGCTGGGGGTTCCTTGTACCCACACAAGTCCAGACTGCCTAAGAGCAGGAAGTGTTCAGAAGAGAACGCAAACCCTGGTACAAACCGGCATTGGCCAACTGATAGACCGGTTAGTAACTGGGAGGTCCAGTTACTCAAGGAGGCTGCTGAGTGAGCGAGTGAGTGAGTGAGTGAGTGTGCAGGTGAGATGGAAGGGGCCAGTAGGTAACTACCTAACTACGAAACAAGCCAACAAGCCAGCTGCTTCACTGGCGGCTCATGGCACAACCGACGAAGCGGCTGTTGCAGGCCTGAACCACTGACTGCAGGCTGGCTGGCTTTCTGGCTAATCTTGAAAAGCAGATCCTGGTGCGATATGATCAATAAAGCCCCCCGGGGACATGAACTAAGGGTCTAAAACAAAAAAATAATGCACTGTCTCAAGAAGTGTGTCATATAAGCTAGACAAGTGTTGTTAAATGTTTAACTTGGTTTTTTTTTTTTTTTTTTTTTTTTTATCGTAGGAGTTACCTGTGATTGTCATTCCCGGTGTTGAAGCACAGGAAAGGCGGTTGTGTTTGGGACCTTTGGGTTAGGCACAGGAACCAGTGGTTTGGGATTTTGCAATGGGGGAAAGACTTCTACTCACCTTCAAATATAGCGTGAGCAGCTGGAATTTATAGCCAAGGAGTGGAGGGGTGGGTGCGGGGTCAGTGGCTGGAAGATTACTAAGAGGAAGCATCAGGGATAGGAGGCGTTGGGGCTTATGACCCAACATGATCCTTGCTAAGGACAGATCTGGGTGATCAGGTTTCGCTGGAGGGTGCTGCAGGGTCAGGAGCCTGACCATGTGCCAAGGGTGAGAGAGTTGGAGGGAGCGAGGAATTAAGAGCATAAAAGAGAAGAATGACCCCTGTAGATGCCCCTAAGATGTGTACTCCACGGGCTGGATTTTTCCTTCTTGATTTTATTTATTTTAATTGCAATTTATTAGACATGGATACAAATTATTATAATCGTTTTAAGGTTTCTCTTAATTTCATATCTTGGTATACCGACCCAGCAAGGTTCATTGCTGAAACTGAATTTTTCAAGGAGGTGCACAGAAAATTCAGCTGCCTGACGGAAGTTGTTTTGTCACCTGCCACCTGAGCTCAGCCAGTGTCCAGCCAGAGCAGCCCCTTCCTTTCCAGAAGCGGTTGGGGCAGGGTCCACTGCCCTCTCCGGCACTGTCTCTGGGGAGGGGGTGCATGGAGCCCAGGTTGTTCTTCAGGCCTGAGAAAGGGGCCGTCGTGATGGTGGCTGGGATAGAGAATCAGGTCAAACACACAGAGCAGCAGCGACGACAAGCAAGACCAGACTGTCCACTTGGCGTCCTGTCCTCTGAGACATGGCCTGTCCACCGAGGCCATCCTCGGGAAAATGGCTACGGGAGGCAGCAAACAAGGGCTACCAGAATCAGCCTCAGGCAGGGCCTTGGGATGACCAGGCCTCAAGTCAGGGGCAGGGCTCACGGAGCTCTGAGCAGCCCCCTGCGGCCTAGCGACTGGCCTGGCACACACTCTGCAGCCTGACACACAAGCGCACCACTGGTCACATCTGCCGCTCCCAGGCTGGATGAGAAGGGGAGAGACAGGACAACACCTCGTCACCACAGTGGCCACATCCCTCCATGCCGACCCTTCAGGGGCTCCCACAGGCCCCGGGGTAGAGCCACAATGCTTTTTTTTTGACAGGCAGAGTGGACAGTGAGAGAGAGAGACAGAGAGAAAGGTCTTCCTTTTGCCGTTGGTTCACTCTCCAATGGCTGCTGCGGCCGGCGCACCGCGCTGATCCGATGGCAGGAGCCAGGTACTTATCCTGGTCTCCCATGGGGTGCAGAGCCCAGGTACTTGGGCCATCCTCCATTGCACTCCCTGGCCACAGCAGAGAGCTGACCTGGAAGAGGGGCAACCGGGACAGAATCCGGCGCCCCGACCGGGACTAGAACCCAGTGTGCTGGCGCCGCTAGGTGGAGGATTAGCCTAGTGAGCCGCGGCGCCGGCCAAGCCACAATTCTTGCCTTGGTTTCCAAGGTCCTGCACGTGCGGGCCCCTCTCTGAGACGCCTCCCACCTCGCCTCTGCCCAGCCATCCCTGCTCCGTTCTTCTCGCTGTGCACATGCTCAGTGTTCCAGACATGAGCCGTGCTGAATTACTTTCAGCTTTCGTTTCCAATAGCACCATCCCTTTCCCTGCCAACAAGGCCCTCCCTCTGCCCTGAATCTCTGCCTGACGGGTCCTCTCAGCCCCTCAGGAATCAGCCCTTCCCATTCGGAGTGAACCACCTGCCCACCCAGCCTGAACCACCCAGCCTGGCACGGGTGCCACAGACCCCTGGACCACTCCCCGTGTCACCTGCGAGAACCCGGGGAACAGGAACTCTCCCGGCTTTCCCTTGGCTCCTGCGTGTAGCACAGTGCCTGGTCCAGGAGGGTACACAGTGAACACGTGTCCAAAACTGGCAAACACAGGGTCAGTGCAGAGGGTGTGTCATCAGGGGATGGTCTCTGGCAGCGCAGGGCAGCGGCCGGCCCAGCCCCGGCCTCTCATCTCCGGTGCCTTTGCCCCTCCGGGTGCCGGCTCACGGCAAGCTGCCTCTGGTGCACCTCCTTTTCACCTGTGCCTGTCTCCCTCAGCAGGCTTGGCAGAGGCTTGGTTCCCTCTGCCTCCTCAGCGCCGTCCAGTCCTTACCTATGGGCGTTGGTAGACGTGGGCTGGGTTGTGTGGGAGGATACTCATAGTTCCGAGGAAGGCAACAAAAGTCCGAATAATTCCAAACCTCTGTACCGGGGTGGGAAACCCTGAAGCCTTGCTCATAGCTCGTTTTCTGCCTCTGTCCCTCTTCTCCGGGAGTTGCTCTGCCTTACCCCGGGGGAGATGGCAACCTGGCCAGGTGACTTGCTTTGCCCACGGAACGTAAACTTGTAAAGCCACTGTTTGCTGTGCTCTCTCTCCCCTTTGTCATTTTCCAGATGGAGGCTGCTCCATCAGCCGGGTTCCCAGAGTCTACTTAGCACACAGTGGACTGCAGCTGACCCTCAGTGGACAGGCGGGCAAAGTGAGAAGCCAGCCTGCTTCAGGCACTGAGGTCTGAGGCTTATTGGCTACTGAAGCCTCACTTGATCTCTCCTGACAGATACATTGGGATACACAAGAATCGGCCTCTTTCTCCCAAGGAGAAATTTCCACTCGACACTAGCCTAAAGACAAAGAAATGAGAAGTCCACTGTGTGCAGGTGGTAGCTGAGACAGTGGCTACTATGTGTGTATATGTGCCCACAGGTGCATGTGTGTGTGTGTGTGTATGTGTGTGCAGAGTGGGGGTTGGAGGAGAGGGAAGAGGAGGGAATAGGAGTCAGCCTGGGCTTGCATGGTAACTGACAGAGACCATCTGTTTGTGGGCAATTGATGTTTTCTTATGAATGACTTTATGCCTGTGGTTGAGCAGCTATGTAAACTTTTTCCTAATTCTGACCACAGGAC